GTGTCTGGACATTGGCAATACTGTAAATTCATTTATTTTTAAAGTGAAATTTAAAAGAGATTTAAACACGTGTTGCCGATCTCATTATCTATTATATGTTGGCAAAAATAAAACGGTACAGCCTTATGATAAAGATAATTGTTCTTATACTTATTAGATTTAGAGTAATTTTACATTTTAAGTTATTTCTGTCTTTCAATTTTTCATTCATTCCTACTTATTCAAAAGCAGTACAGAAAATAACTGTCTGATATGCATTCCTTTCACTGTTTTATATCAATGCAGACATAAAAAAAACCCCTGAATGACTCTAATCTATGTTTGTGATGTAACACAGCTTCCAGCCAAACTGTTTTCCTCCTTAAAATAAATGTAAAAAAAAAATAAAAAAAAATACCATGAATCATTTGACAAATGGCCAAACATCAAAACCGAGGCAGCACTTGCCGTCCCAAAGCTGAAAAAGGGAATTACGGATTGAATTCACAGCGCTTCAAACTGCTGCCAACATATGTAGTTTGATGAACAGGTTTGACTGAGGAAACCAGCACTGATCTCCGCCTGTGAAGAATACCTGAACTGGTATACAGTATACTTTATGAGTCATCACACTGGGATTGTGTGCTAAGAGGCATACTCTGCATACACACTACTATTGTAAATAAACTACAATACTGGATTTGCCCCTGATTACAGAGGGCCCAGAAGTCTAAATTCCACTCCACTCCAAATCACTCAGTATCAACTAAACCCTCATTATTAACTAACTTTGTGGCTCTACCTGTTAGAGCAACACGATGTTCACACAATACACTGGCTTTAACCCTCTGAACCCAAGTAGTTTCTGGATGTTTTCTGTCACATTTTTATTCACTGTGGACTAATTTTTCATTTAAAAATAAAGTCTTGCACCTCTATGGAAACAGTACAACATGGCCAGAAGTAGAGAGAACTCAAAAATGACTTCTGTGAAGCATGACAAACTTATATCGCCTCAAATCATTAAAAAAGAATAAAAACAAAGAGAAATGTCTTTACTATTCATTTCTGCAATCATTAAATAAACTGGAATCAACATGTGAAACACTTTTCCAAGTGACCATAAGCGTAGTGGAATAACTAATAACTACACATGCTATGAATATTTTACTACTGACATCTTTAATATGTCCAAATACTTGCCTCCTATCTGCTCTGTGTAAACACAGCCTGCAGTTCATCCAAAAAGTCTAAGAATTGTTGTCATGTGACTGTTTCTTGCAGCTGAATCACTAATGGTTTTATAGTTGCCTCAGGGAATGCAGAATTTTTTGGTGTTTTTACCGAATCTGGGTAAAGTAAACAATATATTTTTGGCTAATTTTTAAATGTGACGTGTAGAATAAAGAGAATTTGGGGAATTGTCAGGGTTTTAAGCTTGGATTTGGTCGTTTCTTCTGATGGAACATGTTTAGTTCAAGGGCCAGTGGAAGGATGAAAGTCAAATGATTCTTTGTTTTTACAGTTTCTGGCTTTGATAAATAGTGTTTGCAATTTTTAAAATGATAACACGCCTTTAAAACCTACTGGCGGTTTTTGTGTTTTAGAAGGTCAATTGAGTTATTGTGCTGGAGCCCAACAAACAGAAAACATTCTGTCCAGAGGGCATCCACCAGGTTAATCTGGCCTTGCATTGCACTGCTTCCATTTCAGCCTTCGAATAAACTCACATCACGTTTGCAGCTTGAAATCTGAGACAGAGAAAGAGGAGAATCTACCCAAATTCCTTGGGCTTCTTCCATTTCTCATCTACACTTTTGGCTTTTTTCAAAATGAAGCTTGTGTGCTCATTTAAAAAGAACAACTGAAATTTCCCAGCAGAGCCCGGCTAATGTGACTTTAATCACATGCAGGAAATCCATCTGCCGAATATCCTCGGTACATGCCTCCATTTCTTTGTCGGGGCAGAGAAAGGGGCCGAGAAAGAGGGACAAAAGAAGAGCGCGAGAGACGAGAAAAGGAGAAAGTAATGCCGAATATTGATACATGAAGGTCACAAGGAGAGAGAAAAGATGAATAAATATCAGAGAGGAGAAGGCAAGAAAGTAAAATAAGAGGAGAGAATATAAAGACAGAGATGAGAGAGCTGAGAGATGAGACAAGTGTTTGAATTTTGCTCAGTGTCTGACAGGCACTAATAACAAAAATGATAACACAAATAGCTCCAATGGGACGCACATAAACAAACCCAACACACACTCACACTCACACACACACATCAAAATACTCGAGAGGTCGTGGAGGAGAATTTTAATGTCCTCACTGTTTACCCATTGCACTTATTTTTACCTCCCTATCCCTCCTGGCATCTCCGGTCTCGCCTAAAATTTTTTTCATAATCCTCCATCACTGTCTCTTTTCTACACCTCTTCTCCTCACCATTTTTCTGAATTCAGCTACTTAAATCTGAATTCTCCTCTCCTCTGATCTCCATATATAACCAGTTGTAAATAACTCACCAACACTTAGAACTGATTGATGAGTGTTACTTTTGGAAGTGACTGCAGTTACTGTGCTCCATGGCTATTTGCACACATATCTGGCTACCTTTATATATCATTTAACCTATGTTTTCCTAATTATTTTCTTCTTTACAAACAAAACTGTAACTGGGGGTTGCATCTGGGGTTCCAGAAAACAACAACAACAAATGGAAAATAACTGTGTCAGAAAAAATACTGCAATTTTCAATGCTAAAGTATTTTTACTTTAATTTAAATTACTTTTAAATAAGAAGAATGTGTATTACATGGCTTTTG